AACTATGCACATATATACATATACATATACACATATACATACATATACACATATGCTTTATTTTATTGCCACCCACCCCCCAAGCACACACACACAAATTAAACACATATACGGAGTAAGAAAAACCCACAGTTAATATATGAGAAATAAAATACACATGAATCTATGAATAGAGTAGAGTAGTGGTCAAGGTTTCACTCTGATCTACTGATGTGAAAACTTAAGCTATACAAAAATGTGGCGATCAATCAGCTCAGAACAGGTTTGCTACAAAAATACAGAAACCACCGTGTAAAAATCTTAAGACAGGTTCAGAAAATATTTCATAAACATTTTTAAAAAGAAACCTGAGGGATTTATTATTGATCCATGAGCCCCATAGACAGGAGTAAAATGGGCTGCATGGGGTCAGTACAGAGGAGCATAGTGTGATGCATTTGCTTTGCTCTACACTGCAGCGTTCTAAAGTAAATACATGAAGCAAATGTGTGTGGAAGTGTGCACTGCCAATAAGCCACAGAACTAGCTAATGCTAATTTACTAATCTTTACTTTAAATATTAATATAAGTGACGCATTGACAGTCGAGTATAAAAATTATTGACCTCTTTAGGAGGTGTAAACAGCTCAAATAATTGCACACATAAAAAAAAAAGTCCATATGGCTTCTCTTCGTCTGAATGACAAAACAGAGCAGGTCTGATTTGAGGTAAGAGCTTAGCTTCTAAAGGGATTAGGGATGCACCAAAATTTCAGCAAAATACCATCTTTCGGCCTGAAATAGCAGTGCATCCCTGCTTTCTCTCCTCCCCTCTGACACAGCGCAGCATTCAGCAGGTAGGAGAGAAAATGTCACAGGAGGCGAGTGGTGCGGGGGAGGAGAGCGCTGTGAGCGGCCGGCGTGTCTCCTTCTGCACCACTGAGCCTCCTGTGACAGATTAGGAGAGCAGTGTGGGGGCGGAGATAGCTGTCAATTGTCAAAGGAGGCTGGGCCGTCAGTGCGGGGGAGGAGTCAGCTGTCAGAGGAGATTGAGCTCTCCTCCCCGCACCGCTCATTCAGCCTCCTGTGACAGCGAGTCAGGATGGAGAGATGGTACAGGCACTCAGTGGCTGACTGCTTGTTAATAATTGAGGACATAGTACATTTACTGTATCCCCAATTATGAATGAATGGGAAGTGATCTATATCACTTCCTGTTCATGATTGTGTTAGAAATAAAACAAAAAAACATTTTTCGGTTTCGGCCTGACTTAAAAATTTCGGTTTCCTTTCCGTTTTGAAAATTTCATTTCAGTGCACCTTTAGAAGGGATGATGCCATGGGAGTAGGCACAGATACAGTGCGGCTCCACTGACATCCAGTTATCTTACAGCAGGGTGGGCATAGACAACAAATTATTCTGGATGGCTGGTTTTTCCGAACACCTATATTTAGATGGCAACCAACTAATTTACTTATTAGCAGAACGCCCCACATCATGAAAAAGACAACATTTTTAACACGTTATATTTAGGCAGACGTTGAAAACTGATATTTGAATTTTAATGGACATAAAAGTGTGTGGTTGGTGGTTTTTACTCCTGCTGCTGCCGTTTCTCTTATGTAGGATCAAAGAAAAATGGAAAATGAAATGGCAAGAGTAGGTTTCCTCTGTTACAGCCGTGGGAGGGTAAATCTAAAGATCAATCTTAGATAGATTCAAAAATGCTAAGGACAAAAAAAAAAAAAAACACCTGTTGGGTCATGCAACCAACTAACTTGTAACTCATTACAAATGAAGTGCCTGTTCTGAAGAATTAATAAAAATAATATGGGACCAATGCATTTCACTATAAATAAATAGGGCATTGGGGGAAAAAAATTAAAAACCCATTGCTGCAGTGTTTCATACCCATGAACCTCAGGGCTGCCAATAGATCATGTTTTTAGACGACTAAAACCTTAAAACGTAATTTGTCTTTGTGGGCCCCCTTGTGTTCCCCTGGTATTCTTGATCCGCAAGCCTTTTCTGCCGAGATCTTCACTGTTTGACATCCCCACAACTCCAAAACCTCTTTGTCAAAGACGTCCTCTTACTCACGTGTGATGAGTAAGATATTTCAATATCTAGCCAGTACACTGCCCAGAGGGTTGGGGTCTGGGCTTTCCATTGGAGCAAACAGATTCCATGTTTTTACAGAATAAGGTTTTTGAAGCATAGGAAGGCTAATCAGCAAGGTAAAGGGCTCTTACTAAGGGCAAGTGCACTTACCCCATAAAGTCTAACCCTTTTTTTTTGTTTCCTGTTCTAAGAGATGGCATGACCAGGACAAGTAAAAACAGAAAAACTCCAAAAGGGTACAAATATTTCTCTGCATAGAAGGGAAGAGTTAGAGGAGCAAATGTGTCTGGAACAGATATAGCAATCGGAACGTCACAAAGGATCTAAGTTTTTGTCCTGGTGTCACAGGTGCGGGAGGTGAGGGGGATATCCTGAATGAGGTCACAGACAGGTGAGATCCTCTGTCAGGTTTTAATTGCTAACAGCACTATCCAAAATGATTAAATGTAAAACAAAGTACCTTTAGGGCTGAACTTTAACAGTTTAGAAACAGTATGATTTCACCCAAGGTAGTTATGAAGTTGGAAAACATGACCAGCTAAAAGCTTTGTACACGTTGTGCAGTAAGGATCCTCCAGCAATGTACCTTTTTATCATATTTTTCCTTCTAGTTATATTCATAAGTTTTAGTCTGGTAAATATGAAATGGAAGGTATGAAATATTGCACATGATAATTCCTTGTTCTCCATAACCAAATTTTTACATCCTATTCTTTACTGAATACATCCTGTTTACAAAGCTCAAATTTACCAATACAACAGACTTAAAGTCTGTTCCATAGTGCTCCGTCAATGCTCTGTCGTAAAACGTTTAGAGATTCTATTTAAGTGCCCCATACAGGAGTCGTACAGCATTTTGCATCCTTAGAACAAAACAGTGTTTGTGCAGACAACAGAATTACCTGAATCTCTAGCTCTGCTATGTGTTGCTGGAGCTCAGCCACAGTTGCAATACGATCTGCTTCTCGAAGTCTCACCGCCATAACTTCTTCCTTGTTCTGAAAAATACAAAAAGTAAATCAGACATGAGATTCAGACTACAGCTTTCTCAGACATCGTTTTACATTTGCCTGCAAATTATTAGAATTGGCACAAAAGGTGAGCTGTTGTGTTTCAGCAAAGGTTATCCACTTGTGGCCAAGTTCTCCAGGGTGTATGCCTGAAAACTCAGGGGGCATTTCTGCGTGGTTAAGTAAATGTATTAAATATCAGTATACATTTTAAAGCTTATAGTCATATAAAAAGCATCTAAAAGACACTAGAAGGATATCTTAGATAGATAAGAAGAGCCGATACCCCCTCCTGGTCCAATCATTATAAGCTGGGGCATTGCCTGCTGCACATCACACAAGATTGAGGAATGCCCCTACCGCAACTGACTGCGCTAGGAGAGGTGTCAGTCACACTGAACTGTGTTAGCACCAAGCCCAGGGACTTCACTAGTCTATAGCAAACAATTGCGTCTAAGTTTTGATTGCCATCAAACAGTCCCAATGTTGTTCCTGCTTTCATAAACCTATTCCCCAGAGAGCACAAACACAAAAGATACGTTATCTTAGTGAAATGTTTAAGAAAAAGAAAAAAGGAATTATACATGCGAGAGCATTTTTCTTTAAAGAATGTCCATTAAATGAACCCAATTGAATAAAGAAAATCTTTATTGTCAAGAAAATCTTTACTTGTCATGCATTTAGTGCTGGTAGATATTTGGTGGTCTGGAGAGCCTATGCAGCTTATCTATTCACCAGAATGTCTTACAGCTTAGAAACTACAGTGAATAGACAGGATGGATCTTCTGAATCCCATCTTGGGCATATAACTCAACCTCCTTTAGATTTTTACTTTAGATTTCGCTTTTTGTTTTGCTGTATCCATTTCCATCCCCTTCTATTCCTACTGGTGTCATGCAGGAAGAGAGGTGAACACTCCATTGTGGACAAATAAAGCAAGAAAAAAAAAAAAGTTGGGGAACGCCTTATGACTTTCCAAAATCGAGGGGGAAAAAAAAACCCCCAAAAAACTTTGGTTAAAGATACACTTTAAGTATGTCCCTTTAATGTGTATGGGTAATATACACACTCTTACTACACCTTGCCTTAGGCCAATTAGTTAGGCCCTTCCAATCAGATCTGCATGTCAACTTTTGAATTTTGCTCAATGTTAGTCTAAGAGCTGGAGGATGCATCCATTTATAAACAGATTATCTCCTAGTCAGTCTAGGTTCAGAGAAACAAAAACAACACTGACCAAGTTTACATTTTTGGGTTTTTTTCAGACCTCCGCATCTGAGGTAAAACAATGTCAATAGACGTGCATTGGCCCATAGAATAACATGGGTCCTTAAAGGTTTATTAAGCCCCCGCATGTTTTTGCATATATCTATGGCTAGCAAGCAGTAGATATATGCAAAACGATAAAAAAAAAATTAAACCGGTTAATACCTACCTGTGTATCCGCCGCCTTGTCCTGTCTAAAAATTTCTCGGGTGGCCGCAAAGGATCTTGGGGCGGGCGCATTCACAGTTCAGGTGTTCGGCCGGGAGAGGAGGAGAGATGCAAGGTAAGTATATGGAGCAGCGTGCACCTGCACAGACACCATGGGACATGAGAGAGGAGGAGGAAAGCGGAGTCAGCGTTGGATGGGAGACCCGCACCAGCGCTGGAGGGACATCTGAAAACTACACTAAAGAAGATGACCGGATTAAGAGGCATGATTTAAGGTTCGGAGTGTGGGGGGGGGGGGAGGGAGGAGGGAAAAATAAATTAGCCTTTAATGTCACTTTAAGCGTTGTTTCTTTTCCTTTACCACAAGATGGAGAGAATATATAGAATTTATTATTATACAGGATTCATATAGCGACAACAGTTTGCACAGGTGGGATAGGCTTCCCTGAAGAGACGAGTCTTCAAGGATCACCTAAAGACAGACAGAGTAGGAGATAGCCGGACAGGTTGGGGTAGGGAGTTCCAAAAGGGTGGGAGAGACTCTAGAGAAGTCCTAGAGGTGAGCATTGGATGAAGTGACGAGGGAGCTAGAGAGCAGGAGGTCTTTAAAGAGGATGGTTAGGATGAATTTTTTGAGACTAGGTTGAAGATGTAGCTTGTGGCAGTGTTGTGGATGGCTTTGCGAGTGGTTGTTAAAATTTTGAATTATATCTTTTGGGTGATTGGATACCAATGGAGGGATTGGCTTTATACTGGATTTAACACCTTAACCCAGTTTTGCAACTTAGGGCTCATGCACTTAGGGAATTAGGATCGTACAGATCAGCGTATTTTTGGGGCAGGTATGGCCAGGAGCTTCCTATCAGATGCTTCTAATCAGCAGTGGACACAAAACCTTCTCTTCTAGAAAGCCTCCATGAATGGCTTTCAATTGTGGCACAGTTTAAACAAACGGGGGTCAGAGAATCTCAGAAAGTCAGCAGCAAGCAATAGGACAGCTTTCATATTTCTCTTAAGACAGGTTTTCTTCAACACAGCTTATGTTGGGTCTAGAATGATCTGGGTCAATCAGTACAAATTTTTTTTTTAGATGCATGCACTTTTGTGAAACGTTTTGTATTATCTATATTCAATCTGGCCTAGTTTGTTATCAGAATAAGTGGTAGGCAATGAAAGGGTGGTACTATCTGAGGAAAAGCAAAGTGATCAATCCCTTTATAGGAAGTTCACTGTAGGATATCTTTTTTTATTCTTTGCCAGGATCTGGTTGTGTTTAGGTCAGTTATATCCCCAGTAAAATCTTCCTGCTGTTGCTCCAAAACCAGCCACTTGTTATAAGAAAAAAGCAGCTGTAGACATAGCAGAAGAGAGAACACTGGCAGAAATCGGAGGAGCTACACTGTTCTGTGCAGTGATGGTCTCTGCCTTTTTTTAAACATAGGAGCATAAAGACATACTAAGAAAGTGGTGTAGTGTAGATGGACTATAACCTCTGGGCTGTTAATCTTGCATAGCTGAACTACAGAGACCACATGCGCTTTCAAGGGCAGGGGGAAGCCACTGAGGACAGCTCAGTATACAGGACCCAGAAGATCATGGTCAGGACTGTAGTAACATCGGTCATTACAGTGCTTTAAAAGAATCTCTGTGGGCTGCTCAGGTATGACATATGCATACTTACATTGGACCAGTAAGCATACCAAGTTATAACCGAAGTTCAGCTTTAAGGTGATTGTAGGCATGTTAGTGCACTTGCAACATAGTCGAGTACTGCCTGTGATACTGTTCACATAAAAAATAAAAAGTAACTTTTTCAGGGCTTAGACGGTAGTAGTGGTTAACCCCAAAAGTTCATTCTAAAAAATGAATGGTTAGTTTACAAAAAAACAAACCGTATCATGAATATTGCTCAACTGTGGGGTTGCAGAGATGAAATAAAAAAAGCTTAGAAGCATTATGGTAAAGGCACAAGTGCATTTTTATTAGGTGGCAATTGCATTAAACAAAAAAAAAACACTTTAGCTCTGTTTTGAATAATTAATTGAAAAAAAAAAAAAATCTGAGCTGAACTATAAAAAACAGGAAGGAAGGAAACATGGTGCCCCTAACCACAGTGCTAGCGATTCCAGTCAGCCCCCTTCCACTTTTACTAGTACAGGTTAGAAAATGTAAAAACGGATAGTCGATAGCAATTTCCAACACTCCCTTTTAATTTTATATACAGATCTTAAGCATATATAGATGTATCCTATGCTACCAAGTATTGTACAAGGCCTTTAACAGAGAAACGAGGTATCAGGAGACTGTGTTGAAGTAAACTAGTTAAGGTTTACATAAAAATAAAATCACATTAGGGTAGTGCATGCTCAGATCTACACTGGTATCCAACTGACACTGTGGCAAAATACCATTAATTACCTTTTCTGGCTGTCTATCAATCTCGTGTCCACTCAGGTGCCGTTCTGTCTGCCAGCGACTGGGGGCATGAAATAAAAAGGTGCCCCCACATGACTTCTCCTCCAGTCCTAGCTGCATAGGTGGACAATGCTTGTGCACAGGGCCTGATTCCCCACAAGGCCAGGCCTCGGGCTGCAGGGGGTGGAGGGGCAGCATGGCGGTTGCACGAGTCCCGACCAGTGCACAAGTCCAGACGTCAGGCAGATGGGAAGCAACCTGGGGTTAGGGGCCTGTTCCTGCTCGTGTGCAGGGCTTGTGCTAAAACAAAATCCCAAACAGTAAGAACACCTGCGCCGGAGAAGTCCCAACCCCCTCTCCTCCAGAGGACCTTCACACCCCGGCGTCAGACTCATGACATGCCATCACCACATCTTCCATCTGCCCACCGCTATGAGTCTCCCTTCACTGTTCAATCTGCTTCTGCTACCTCCAGGATTAGCTGACAGACAGTGCCAATACTTGAATGAAAGGTATTGGTTAATTCCTTGCTGGGTATACCTGCACACTTTATATTTACAGTACATGCTGTTATTGCATAAAAACTGCACCAAAAGATCTAGTGTATGTCTTCTATAAAATACCCAAATCACAAGTAACCTGATAAATATACTAAAATAATTCCACATCACTGGAGGGTGGGGTTTGCAGGAAGGGGGGCACATTGAAGAACTCGGCCTTGGGGCAGCAGAGATTAAATCTGCCTGTGCATGGATGTGCTCATGCTCTGGGCAGAGGGAGACCATGCGGCTGGAATTTCAGCAGCGATCTTGCAGCGCTGTAAGCCCTCTACTGGAAATAATTCAAGGTGATCAAAACTAGCAGCCCCGTTTGTTTAAAACAAAGAGGACTGCCACAACAAGATTGGGCTTACTGGAAAAGGTGCAGGAAAAGGCATTGTTTAATTAAATTTTAATCCAAGGGTTACAAAGACTAAAGCTGACCAAACGACTTCTGACTGGGCAAGAAGTTGGAGCTGTGTGGGGCCCTGCCAGCACCACCTGGCTCGACAAAAGTTTACTTTTGAATCCGTTTTTATCGAAGTAGCCGGGTGAAAATGGTTTGACTAACAGTGACTCCAGCCAAATCATCTGCA